AGTCCTACAGAATGCCCTGGTATTCCTACCACTCTGTAGATGTAGTTTTGTTCCTGGCTGGAGCTATGCTGCTTGTGCTTTTAACCACTTTCTACCTGATTAGGTATATATACACTGGGATGTGCAAATATAAAGTGAAACATGACTAATGATCAGTGTACAGATGGATTTGATAATGCATTGTGTCATTTTAACTTCTCATTCATGTTTGAGTACCACATTCATATGAGGTTGTTATAAAAAAAACTTCATCATTATTAAAAGTCCGTGTTTCAAAATAATTCTGAGTGGATTAACTCTAACAAGATAAACATAATCAATGAATAAAATCCATTTTGTATCTTTACCTGAATATGTTTAGTTTTGTTATATTTTGCCTTTGTTTAAAAGGGAAAACAACTGCCTCTATGTTTGACAAACAATACATATCTTCTTAATGAAGAGATTTGAGAGGAATTCTCCGTTGATGGGACTTTAAATGATAATCTCATGCCAGGCAAATCTGAGTAATGATCCCATTTGAATTACAGAAAATGTTCTATTTAATTTGTAAACGCTGTCAGTTGAGTCGCTTATTAATGCCAAGAATGACAGAATGGCACTGACATAATGCTCCGGACACGGAATAGTGTTTTTAGTCTTAAGAGAAAATGAATCAATGAATGAACAACTGAATGGTTGTCAGTTTTACTTTAATTGAATGCAGCATTCAGTTGAAATACAAAAAATGTCGGTGTAAATGTAACTTAAAATTGAATCAAGACCGGTTATGTCACATTGCAGAGTAACGCGTTCCTCTCGTCACATTGCATTTTTATCATAACTCATTAACGTGACGCGTTACAGTACTAAATTCAGTAATCACATCGGGTAACATTTACGCTGTTACTTTGGTTACAACGATTTTTCAGTACGCAGAGCGAATAAAAAGTACAACTTCTTCCTGCCCGTTGACGCTATGATTTTGGTTCCTGTGTAGGGAGGAGGAAATGGTGGATAGACATACATAAATATGTATGTCCATGGGTGGAGTAGTCTACAACTTCTGAGGAGTGGAGGTTTGGACAATACGTTTCATTTTTAGTTAAAGGACAAGCACGTGATTATTAAGAGCAACAGCAGGACGTAAAACACTTCACAGCAAATCTCTGGAGTTAAATATTCTGGAGTTAGGCATAAAAGTGCACAAGAGTTACATTCTGGGAGTTTATTTTTCACCTTATACTACAGTCAGTGTTGGGGAGTACTCTAAAGCGGTGTAATATTTAGGTGTTCATTCACTGGGTGCTAAGGAGTCTAATTCAACACATTGCTGGTGTTGTTTGTCTGTCGACC